TAGTTAAAATCAAGTAGATCTATAAACATATAAAAATCTTGAAAATGGACAATGTAGATAATATGTTGTAAAATGCATTATTTTTGAAACTTAAAATTTTTTTATTTTTCATGGTCATACATCTCGATCAATCAAAAAGTTTTTCAACATTAAAACTACCTTTTTCGATGGATTTTTGAGGTGCATCCGTAGTTCTACATTATAAGGTTTTGCTTATATAAACTTTTCCCATTGTGTTTTGCGTAGTGGGTATAATGGTCCTTTCATTTTTCCTAGCCAGATATGCATAAGGGTGGGGACACAAACTTTACCCCATCGTTTTTAGGGATAAGAGATGACAACGGTCAGTTTCGAATCTTTTCATTTTTGGCTCTCGTGTCATTTCAATTTCAAAAGTTTGTGAACTACTTTGTCATTTCCAGATAAGTTAGGGCTTCCATACAGTGATAAAGGGTGTGTTGATTTCTTTTTTGGTTATTATACTTGTTCTTTTTTCAGTAATTTTTCTTTAAAAAAAGTTCTTCTTAGTTATCTTTATCTGTTAATTTATTTGAAAAGATCATAGAGCCGAGGTTTTAAACAATTAAATTAGAGCCCATCTCAAAAATTTCATTAGAAGAGGTTGTTTTGATGTATAAATATCTACAAATTGATCATCTCAACATCAAGATGCATGGACATGAGAAAAGGTTAGGATTTCTTCTTTGTGAAAAACGTATTTTTCAACACACGCAGGGATAAATTATCAATTTTCCTTGCAAAATAAAGTTAACTATCAAACTGAAAAATGAAAAGAAAATGGAAAAATATACTGTTATTTCACTTTCTTAATTTCTTTAGTTTTTATCTTTTAATGCAACTTCAAGAACTGAAATTTTAGTTTTGTCCTTCTTTCTCTCCGCTCATAGATGCATGAGTGGAGGCACAGAGCAAGATCCTCAGAGAAGAAACTATCGGAGTTGCGTAAACAATTCTCAAGACTCCAACAAGAAATGGATGAAAAGAACAGCATTGGCTCATTGAATCAAACCTTGACAGTCAAGACCGAGCGAACGAAAATCATTAGGCCCAACAATGATCCGCTCGAACTTGAAAAGGAAAACGAATCTTCGATCACTGACAAGAGGGTCTTAGTTTGCAGACTGAGAAAGGAGAAGAAAGGTAAGGGGACAAACCGCTCGCCTCTAAAAGAGATTGGGAATTCGTCGCCTCTGTTCAAGCCTAGAGGAGCAGTTTTCCCTATTAACTTTTGAAGAAGGTATAATCCGACGGAGAATAATAATAGTTTTGTATTTTTCGAAATAGTAGTCCAAAAAAATTTATTGGGGTTGATCAGAATCAGAGTTCTTTTTGTGTGAGACTGAAAGATGAATCTATCTAAGGACAGATAGTTTCTTACTTTCGGGTGCAATACTTTTGATATGGACCTTTATATTAGTAAATATATGGGATTATTTGCAAGGAAATTATTTATTTTTTGTATATGGAAATCGTAATCATTGTATGTCTCTTAAATTTCAAAATAAATGATTGTAAGAGCGTCTAGAAACAAAATTCCAAAAATAAAAAAATCTTAAGAGTTCGTGAAGACCTTCTCGAGAGAGAAAATCTGTGGAACACTCACAATGTGCAACCCACGCAAATGTTTGCAAGGGCACAAGGGCATTTAAGGAGCACTACACACTTGCATGAGCGCCTTGAGGCAGTGTCGACTCATGCTTCACCTAATTTATTGAACCCTGAAACACAGTCCCTAGGAGCCACGATTGGATTATGGATCGAAAGTTGGGGATGTTTGAAAATTCACAGAAAGGTTCACTGAGTGTTGGAAAATGTATTTAATTTTTATTTTTGTAATGGGTGCGGTTTGTATAGAGCCGAGGCTCTAAATAATCAAAGAAAAGCCTACCTTCAAATGGTGTCAAGAAATATGGTTTCAACATTGGAAATCTTTGAGATAGCCTTAAAATATATTTTTATCTTTAATTATAAAATTTAATGCTTAAAAAATAGTGTAGATCGAGCATATCTATAAAAACTTGAAAATTTTGAAAATTGATGGTCAAATAATGTGTTACAAGATGTGCTGTTTTCAAAACTTGGAATTCATTTTTTCTCATGTCCATGCATCTTGATGTCGATATGATCAAATTTGAGGATATTTGAGCATCAAAACAACCTTTTTGGTGAAATTTTTGAGGTGGGTTCTAATTCGATCGTTTAGAGGCTCTTCTCTATGAAAACTTTTCCTTTTTGTAATTTGTGCGTTTGGGTGGTCAATAGGACGATTAGGGCCTGACCAAGGTTAGGAGCTCCTAACTAAGATCTCGGCAGTTTTGGAAAGTTGTACGATAGGCTTAGGTGTGGTTTGCCCTAATTAGGCAGGCTTGAAAGGAGAGTCTAGCCTAATTAAGCAAGTGTAGCTAATGGACTAGGCTAATTAGGCAAGTTCAGCGTTTTAGCTATAAGAGTTTAAGCCTAAATGAAGTGCCTTAGGGGTTCACTAATTGGTCCCTAATTGAGTGTGGTGTATGGATCATTGGAGTAGAGCAAACTAGGGTGCATGATGGTAGTATGGACCTTAGTATAGTTGGGCTAGAAATTGGGCGTTTGGATAGGGGGAAAACTTGAATTATTTTCCCTTTTTATTTTTCCACAAAATACCCTAGGTTCCAGTTTTTTTCGGTGATTTAGAACTCCAAGCTTAGGACAAACTTTTTCTTAGTTAAAAATGCGGTTTGGAACTTAGGATTGAGAACAAACCAATTTTTCGTTTGAATTTTTATTGATCGGCAGTTTGGAACTTGGAGTTCTGAACTCCCAATTTACAATAGGGATGGCAATCGGGTTGGGTTGACTCCCGGACTAGGCAAGTCGACCTAAACCAGGTTCGGATCTATGTTTTGGACCCAACGATCTAGTCCGGGTCTATGTTTTGGACCCGGCGGTCTGGTCCGGGTCCAAATAACTTCGACCCAACGCAAATCGAGTATTAGTCCCTATTGGGTTGGTTTGGTTCAGGTCGAGCTCGGATCCAGTATCAGTATAAAATATATTAAATATGTATTAAATAATATATAATAATTTCTTTAATTTCTAGACTCAGTTCTGATCCAGTCCTAGTCACTTGGACCCTACCTTAGTTCGGGTGAACCTGGCTGACCCGGACCCTACCTTAGTTCGGGTGAACCTGGCTGACCCGGACCCTACCTTAGTTCGGGTGAACCTGGCTGACCCGGACGGACCTGACTCATTGCCTTGGAACTTGAAGTCTAGATTCAATCATTGACAAAAATAAATAACTGAAAGCAATTATAAAACAAAAATGCTGATTGAACTCCAAACCTCACTTTTTCACCAAAAAAAAAAGAGAAAATTATTGGAGTTTCAAGCCAAAAAAAGAAATAAACCAATTCACAACTTGAAGTTCCGAACTAAAGATATTTTTGGAGAAAATAGTAAAATAAATGACATGATAGTGAAATTAGAAATTTATTAATACTACAAAAATAATGAGATATCCATGTTAATTTCCGTTTATCTATTTCCCTGAAAGCACTTTTTTATAGGGAAAATTGCATAAAACCTCCCAAAATGGGCTTTCTAATTAATTTACCCTTACCTAACTTTTTGGAGCAACTTGCCCCTAACAACCATCATTCCTAACAAATACCCCCAGTACAAAAAGTTCAAAATTTTTTTTTTTTCAAAGTGTTGTACCGGCATTTCAAAACTTCGGACTGCCCTTTTAAAATGCCGGACCGCTATTTCAAAATGCCGAACTTTCCATTTCTCCAATAGCATAATCCCCAAACCGCCACAATGAAACGTCGGACCGCTCATTCCAGCAAAATTGTCGCCCGACCGCCTCTTCCAAACGTCAGACCGCCCTCTCCAGCGAAAATGACTTGTTATGTATGGGAATAGTATTTTCATCAAAAAAAAATATGAACAATTTGGATTGGGTATTTGCTAGGTTTTCCTAGGGGCGGAGTTGTTAGGAAAAGTTAGATTGGGGGCAAATTGATTAGAAAGTCCATCTTAGGGGGTTTTATGCAATTTAAGAAAAGTTAGATTAGGGTTAAATTGATTAGAAAGATCAATTTAGAGGGTTTTATGCAATTTTTCCTTTTTTCTATATGTTACTCTCTAGCATCATTATAAAACCTGGCTATTTTCTATCAAATCCTTAATCCACATGGGAATCAGTCAAGACCAACCGGTTCAAGGGTGGCCCGCTTCCCTCTAGAACCCCCCACCGCACCTCCATATATAATACACATTTTTTTTTAAGCTTATTTAATGTTTTTTTCAATTCCCTCAATATTTTAGGGTCACAATGGGTCGGGTTGACTTGGACCCATACCCGACTTGGACTCAACCCATGGGGTCCAAAACTTAGACCTGAACTAAAACTTAACAAAAATATTATATATATAGGAAATTTTTTCCAAACATAATATTTTCAAAATATATTTTACATGTATATTATCCATGTGTACATATGTTCAAGTCAAGTACGGGTTCAGGTTGGTTTAACTTGGACACGGACTCGACCCACTTCTGACTTAGGTCCACGGTTTTTGGACCCAAACTTGACCCACCAATCCAAAACATGGACCCCGACTTGAGCCCATATCAGGTCACCCTCAGTTGTCAGGCCTAATCGACTTGATTGCTACCCCTAGAATATCCACATTCATATAAGCACTTATTTTAATTTTTTATATTATTTTATTTATTTTTAATATTTTTCTATATCACTTTTCCTGTTCACTAATTCTACAATATAACATGAATCCATGGTTAAACGATCAGCCCTACCAACCCATGTTTTGAAATACGCTATCTAATTACCAATTTTGTTGAGCTGGCAGAAAAGTTCAATATGCCTGTTGCGGTGGAAGGAGATTCGATGAATGTCATTAAATGAATGAAGAAGGATGCAAAGTATCCTTTGTCTCTATCAGTGTTCATAAAATCGAACCGGAACGGTTAATCGGACATGGGCCTGGAAGTGGTTTAATCGGCCTAACCGGTAAACCGGTCGATTCAACCGCTCTAATGGGGCAAGTCTCGAGTCGGTCAAAAAAGTGTTGAAAAAAATAAAAAAAATTCAAAAAAAAACATACTAAAATATGAAAAGCATATAAAGAATGATTAAAATAAAACACATTCAAATGAAGTTGAAAATTAATGAAAAAATGGATTTTAACCCATTTTATATTTTTCCAAGGCTATTTTTAAAATTTTATAAAAAAAATGAGAAAATATAAAAGTATTGACAACCAAAATGATTTTTAATCTTTACTATAATATAAATACTATTTAAAAATGCATTAAAATCAAATTCCTTATTTTTTAGATTTATATATATTTTTTAAAATAAAAATAAAAATACCTGTTGATTACCCTAATCAACCACTGGCCGATTCCGATCTAATTGGACAGTTAGCAGTTAGATCGGGCGATTTTACGAATATTGATCTCTACATAAATTGATTCGGGAGGCATATACGGTCTATTTGAAAATAGTAGTATCTTTGGTGCATGTGTACAGAGAAAGCAATATGGGTATGTTTGTAAATAGTAGTATCTTTGGTACATGTATAGGGAATCCAATATGGAAGAGGATGCAATATGGGTATGTTTAAAAATAGTAGTATCTTTGGTACATGTGTATAGAGAGTGCAATATGGAGGTCGATCGTTTGGCAAAAGCTGGAGTTGCTACTGAAGGATTTATTGTTTTCGTTGTGTAATATGGAGGCAGATCGTTTGGCAAAAGTTGGAATTGCTAATGAAGGCTTTACTGTTGTATAAATTGCTAGACTTAGTTGTTTTTTTATTATTATTTTTTATTTTTTGGTTGAGTCAATGGAGTAAGAGAACTGGGCCCCTAGCCTTAGAAGGCTTTACTGTTATATAAATTGTTAGACTTAGTTGTTTTTCCTATTATTTTTGTAATATTATTATTATCATTTTTGGGTGAGTCAATGGGTTAAGGGACATAGTCCCTTGCCTGAGTAGGAATCGAGCCTCGTTGCAAATCGTCGTTGACCAATTGAGCCCAAGCTCTTTTCCTAATGGGTCAGTTTTAGTTAGTTTTTAGATTCTTTTACTTCGTGGTTTGTTGTATATGCCCTCCACGGATCTTTGTAACTGTTCTATTGATGATACAATAAATGGTCAATGTTTTTTCTATAAAGGTGCGGTTTGTATATATCTTAGGCTCTAAGTTAGAGCCTACCTTCAAATAGTGTCGATAGTGTCGAGGAATATGATTTCAATTATGAAAATCTGTGTAACAGCCTTAAAATATACTTTTATCTTTATTTATAAAATTTAAAGCTTTAAAAATAGTATAGATTGACCAATAAATGAAAACTTGAAAATATTGAAAACTGACCGTCCAAAAATACGTTACAAAATACATTATTTCCAAAACTTGAAATCCATTTTTTTTTTTTCTAATGTCGATGCATCTTGATGTCGAGATGATCAATTTGAGGGTATTTGGGCATCAAAACAATCTCTTCTAATGAAAATTTTGAGGTAGGCTCTAATTTGATTATTTAGAGACTCGGCTCTATATAAACTTCGCCCTTAAAAAAAAAGGGGTGCCAGTTTGCATAGAGCTTATGCTCTAAACAATCAAATTAGAGCCTACATTCAAATAGTGTCGAGAAATATGGTTTCAAAATTGAAAATCTTTTTGATAGCTTTAAAATATAATTTCATATTTATTTCTAAATTTAAAGCTTCAAAAATAATATAGAGATCTCTAAAAACTTGAAAATCTTGAAAATTAACGGTCCAAAAGTACGTTACAAAATACACTATTTTCAAAATTTGAAATCTATTTTTTTCTCATGTATATGAATCTTGATGTCGCGATGATGAAAGTTTTGAGGTAGGCTCGAATTTGATGGGTTAGAACCTTAGCTCTATATATAAACTTTTCCCAAAAAAAAAAAAACGGGAGTTTCTTTTTCGTATTCTTTTGAAATAACAGCGTAATAGCATAGAAATGGACCAGTGTATTATGTCCGTTACTCTGAACGTTCCTTTCCGTCTGGAATGAAGAATTAATTTGTGACACCACCACGTAAAGGATAAAGTGGAAGGTCTTTTGTGGTATGACTTGGCACATGCCAACGTGGCATTCGCAATGACGTGGAGCCGTCAACAGGCAATCTTTTCAAACGTGCAGGCCGGTCGCGGATCTTCTGAATCTACGGCTGATAAATGCCGTTGCCTGTTCCGGAACTACCCCTAATCTGGTCGAAAATTACGCTAAAGAGACCTTTGTCTTGGAAATTTGTGGGCGCAACTCAAAACATAAAAGGGCTTCTTGGAACAAATAATTACAATACTGGTCCTCCCTTTTACGACTCGAAAGCCTTGTCGTATAATCGATGGCTTATAATGACTCGCGATGGACCTAAAAAGGGGTCATCCGCATTGGGAAGGGAAAGCTTTTTACATGCTGCTAGATCCAAGGAATTTATATAAAGCCACGTCTCTACTAACCATTTGATTTGAATAGATGGCTGAGATGGTTTTAATTAAAATGTGATTTTTAAGTACTAATTTTTTAAATTTTTTTTTTCTATAAATCATATTGACACTAAAATTTGAGGTGTCATGTCCACTCACATAGTCGCACCTACGAAAAATATGAAAAAAAATATTCCTAATAAAATGAAATGGCCAAATATTCCTAAAAGATTATAGGATAGTTTGGACATTTTATTTTTAGAAATATTGTTTATATCATTTTTAGGTTTAACCATTGATAAACGCATCAAAAATTTCATATTCATATGATTTGTAGAAATGATACGTCACATCTAGAAGAAACAGTTGGAGGCCCACTTGCGACATTTTGGTTAAAGCTATTCCAACCATCTATTCAGATTGGATAGCTGGAAGAGAGTGAGTTACACCCATTAAGGATTGGGATACGTGGTTGGGATTGTAAAAAATGGGCAGAGTTTCTATAAGGTGTCAATCTTGAAAGATGCACTTTCATTGTTGGAAAGATTTATGTTGACATGAAAATATTTTTTTAACTTCAATTATAAAATTTAAAGTTCTAAAAATGATGCAAATCTAGTACTTAAAATTTTAAAAATGAATGATCCAAATAATATATTACAAGATGCAATATTTTCATGCTATTAATTTTTTTGTTAATGTTTTTGTCATATCCATACATCTTGAGGTTGAGATAATGAAGTTTAAGGTTTTCTATTATTAGAGGTGCGTGTTACTTTAATAATATAAGGTTGATAAACTTTTTATGTAGAAAATTATATAAATGTAAAATTTTGGTTTAACCCGACCTAATACGGTATATATAAATATAAAATATATAGCTATATAATTTAAGGATAAATGATCCTATAGGATTATCTCCCACCCATGTGTGTAGGACCCCCAAAAGATCACCATTAAAGTTGGTACAAATCTCTAGAAAAGTCAAATCTCACACCCATGTGATAATTTTTATAGAGATCTGTGCCAACTTTAATAGTGATCATTTGAAGTCCTACACACGTGGGTGGGAGAGGGTCTTATAGGATCATTACTCTAATTTAATTTCTTTAAATATTAATTATATATTATTATTTATAGACCAGCACCCGACCTGAAGCGGTGGGTCAGTCCTAACCCAGTTTTGGGTCCAAGTTAAACTTAGTCAGGTCAGGTCCGGGTCGGGAAACTACCACCCCTAAAACAATTTGTGATGCACACTATCAATTCCACTCATTTCCTAAGAGGGTCTTCCAATTTTATGTAAAATTTTAGGTTCGCACAAGACGACGCCTTCTGAATTTTCCAAACTTTTCCTTCAAGTTCTCAAATATTTAAATTTCAAGATCTCATAGTAACTTGAAACCTTTGTATAAGTTCTAGCATGGCGATGGTGAGTAGTGCCTTCTTGTTCTATGTAAAATCAGTATATGCCTTCATTTGAATTTCCCAAACATTTTACAAGGTGTCAAATTTGAGCACATATGCTATGCTATCTCATGACTCCGGAGCATAGTTTATTTGTCCTCCCTCAGTCAGAAGACCTGCTTGGGAAGAATTTTTTATTCTTAAATTACGGGAACCATTTAAGAATTAATAGATTATAATTTGAAAAAATAAAATTTGAGTTTTCTAACATAAATCTTACTATCTAAAATTTTGATGATCTTTATTTAATCTTGAGACTTTTTTTTTTGAAGTGCATAAAAGGTACAATTAAGAAAATTTTTTTTATTGAGGTCAATCCATGGGTTGAATAGGTTACATCTCAAAATTTGGGGTCCTAAATTTTTTTGTAAGTGGGGTTTTACTTGAAGGAGTAAATGGACATTCTATTCCCACCGGAGTAAAATATCTTTTGGTTTCAAATATTTGAATTCCAAGGTCTCAAATCAAGTACAACAATTATAGGTTTGAAGTTGACTTATGCGACGAAAAACACCAACTTCACTTCATCGCACAAAGTTGACGGTTAAAATAACTTCGAATTTTTAATGTCTAAATTAAGTTTACTAAAAAAACAAAGAACTTTGGACCTTCAAACAACAAAATTAGAAGTAATTTGGAAACAATAAAAACTCAAAAAATTTAGGATATATATAAAGTCAAAATTTGTGAGGAACACTAACATAATTTTTTTTTATAAAAGATATGAAAAAATATATAAAGAGTTATATATTTCAAATCTAGTAGTTATGAATGCGTTATTGATTACACTTAAATTTATTTTTTAAAAAACCCCGAACTTCATGACATTCTCCAAACCTTTCAATTGACATCTAAGGATTAAAAATAATTATCACCTTCTTGTAACAAAGATAAACAGTACTCTCATATTTAGAGGACGGACAGTCCGGAGCTTCTAGAGAGCAGAGACTGTCCGCATGACCTAAAATTAATCTGCACCGTTAACCGGTGAATTGCTGGTTAAAATATATGAACAAGAATAACCTTGAAAATTTTCTAAAAAAATGGTATAATTTCATATGTTACGAACATTATCCTCAAAATTTCGTGTATCGTGAAAGCGCAGGGGATGGCATTTCCGAAATTCCTTCATTTACCAAGTGTTATTTCTTCAGTTTGAAAAATAATTGTCTAATGACGTTCATTGTTTAATTGGAGGAAATTAGGAATGGCCCGGACAGTATAAAAAGGGGCGTCCGTTTTTTGGGCTCTGCTCAACCATTTTCAAAGGAAGAGAAGGGATGAAGGGGATCTGTTCATAACTTTTGAGAGAGAGGATCCAGCCTCTCTCTATCTAGAATTAGCGTTATATCGGAGGTACTTGTCTTTGATCTCTGAAAATCATGTGCTTTCTCTTTCTATTTCAAATGACGATCGATTATCTCACTTCCTCTCTAGAATTTAAGGCAAAATCTAGGCATTTCTCTTCGAATTTGCGCTTTCTTTCTTTATTTCAGCCAGAGATCATGTCTCTTTGAATTAGTGGAGAATCAGAGGTGTTTATCTTGAAATCTGGGCAAATTCTGTGCGTTCTCTCTCTATTGCAGTTAATGATCAAGTCTCCCCCAAAAAAATTTTAAAAAAAAGAAAGAAGAAGAGTTTCTCTCGAAACCTGGGAAAATTTTGTTCTTTTTCTCTCTAGTGCAGCCAACAATCAACTCTCTTTCTCCCTTAACTGATGGAAAATGTGATGACCAGTGGTGTTTCTCTTGAAATCTAGGAAAATTCTATGCTTTCTAACGCTAATGCAGCAGATGATCAACTTTCTCTTTCTTGAAATTATCACAGTAATTAGAGACATTTTTCTGAAACTTCTGGTAAATTTTTTGCTTCATTTCTAATTCATCCAGCGATCAAGTCTTTTTTTAGTGCAAGTAAAGGTGTTTATCATAAAAATGGAAACATCTGTGCTCTCTCTCTCTGATCAGTTCGTTTATTTTTTATTGAATTTTTCCATGTCTATTGTATACGGATAACAATTTGAGGCATTTCTGAAGTATCTTTGTAAACTATGCTTTCTCTGTATCTATCTGATTCACCTTCCAACTTTGCATATGCGTTTTTAAGTTTTTGAGTTCTTTGCATTATTTTTCCCTCTATAACAGCCCATAATCGAGGGTTTTCTCTTCTTGTCCATGAGTCGTGTGCTTAACCTAAAATTCAGCTGAAATATCCTTGGCATCATTGGTAAACTTTTCTTTTTGTCTCTCTATCTGATTCACCTTCCAACTTTGCATATGCGTTTTTAAGTTTTGAGTTCTTTGCATTATTTTTCCCTCTATAACAGCCCATAATTGAGGGCTTTCTCTTCTTTTCCATGAGTCGTGTGCTTAACCTAAAATTCAGCTGAAATATCCTTGGCATCATTGGTAAAGTTTGCTTTTTCTCTCTCTAATGAAGTCGACGGCTCAAGGGATTTATCTCAATTCTCCATGTATCTGCACTTTTTCATTCTAACCAGCTTCATTCTTACGTTCTTTCAATTTTCCAGATGCTTCCTGTTCTGTATTTTTTGTCATAATTCAAGGAAATATGTTCTTTTCGTTTAAAATACATATATGTTAAGGAAATAAAAACTCAGGACAGTATTGAATTTGGGAAGTGCAGTAAAATAAGACAATGAAATTGGGTTATTGAATTTGGGAAGTGCAGTAAAATAAGACAATGAAATTGGGTCTGGATTCATTCTTACATCTGGAGTTTTGTAAATGTAGGCTGGTCCTTGATCCGCAACGCTCTCGATTCGAGCTGCAGTGCTTCTCCTTCTTCTCTTTGATTCTTGTTTCACTGGGAGGAAGGGGATATCTTTAGGTGGTACTGTGTTTCTGTATCTCCTTTTATTTTTCGTTTTTGTTCTCCTGCACAATTGTTCGAAGATGGGGATCATGTCAAGGAAAGTGCTTCCGGCTTGTGGGCGTTTGTGTTTCTTCTGTCCTTCATTGCGGGCGAGGTCTCGACAGCCAGTAAAGCGGTACAAGAAGCTATTGGCTGATATTTTCCCTAAATCTCAGGTAAATCTTCAGTGTTCATTTTTCGGTTTGGACTATCAGGGTGTATTATTTTAATGAAGTATGATCTCTTTTTAGTATTTATTGGCAGCCTAAACTAAAGCTTTTGTATTTAATTCTCAATATTTATTTTTGTGTTTGAATCGTCAGATTAGTTTACACATGAATCAGAATAATGAAATATAAAAACTGATTATCAGTTTTCTTTCCGTGTGTTTAATGGTGGGATTTAACTGATTATTTTGCTCTATTTTATTGTGATATGATTCTGGATTTTGGTAATGTTATGATAGGTTGATTCCATATTTATTGGATATGACTTGCTTAAACTGGCTCTTGATTTTTACTTTGAAAAAAGGTATGCGATAAGTAGTGAACAGTTTCTTATTGCTTGCTATTTTATAATTTATATATTGAACAATTATCTTGTAAAGATTGATTATATCAACTTTGATATCTTAAAGAAGTTAATTGTTATCATCACTGAACATTGACAGTTGTTCTACAATCTTTGCGAAGGGTATTCCCTAATCGTTCTGCACTCCAATCTTGTCCTTTATCGAGGTTTAATGTCTGGGATTTATATTTTGTTTTATCAGGATGAAGAACCAAATGATCGGAAAATTGGCAAGCTGTGTGAATATGCTTCAAAGAATCCCTTGCGTGTGCCCAAGGTATCTGCTACTTCTTTTTCCCTGTGTAGTATTGCTTTTCGTTAGTCAAATGGTCATCTGTCTTTGTATAGTCGTAAGTGTACTTTCTGCATTGTTTAAGTACCAGATTTAAATTCATTATTTGATGAGGTGAGTCCTCTTTTCTTCTGAACTAATGGTCACTGCTTCATTTGGTATATGAATTTGTAGAATGGCAAAACTACGATCTTCTGCATCATTTGGCCCTTAGATGCCTTATTAAGTAAGACATTAGCTCTATCAAAGAGCACATAGGCGTTCATTTTGCCAAGAAGAACAGGATATCTTTCAACAATATTGCCTCTTTCAGAAAGAAAAAAGGGCACAGTTACCCTTGAAATTTATTTTCTTCAACTTCTGTACTGTTTTGTGCAGAGAAGATCTATCATCATAAGAAATTTAAGTGTCAATAATTTATTTTAATTGTTAGTTTTCTGATTAATCATTAGAGGGCCATTTTTTCATGGGAGATTTACACTATGCATCTGCACCGTATTAACATATATGTGGAAATATTAATATTTTAAATGATCTTCAGGTACACCATCTAATATTAGAAAATAGTTTGGGGACAACATTACATGTTAAACTTTTTGAAAAGATGCTGAGATTCCAAGGCGAGTATGCCTAGTATGACACAATTCCAGAGTACATTTGTTCTAATTGCAATGTATGGTGGACCTACATCTATGGAATCCATCCTTGCATAGGTCAGGTGGGATTTGAACCTTGGTCCTACATTTCTGGAATCCATCCCTAGATAGGTCAGTTGGGATTCGAACCTTGGTGCCGTGGCCGCTAACCAATGTTCCAAAAAATTTCGGGGGCCATCTAGGTTGTTAGGGGGGTCTTGGCCGCCCAGTGCTATGCGGCCGCCCAGATTTTTGGGTGGACTAGGTTGAAGAAGAGGGGTAGGGGAATATGAGTATATGACCGCATATTATACCTTAGCTGGGAGGAAGGCACGAGACTTTGAGATTCTATACTCTTTCCTAACGCAACAACCTATTTTGAGATTGGAGGGCTTCTATACTAGCTAGCATTCCCACAGTAGTTCTCGAGCATGTGGTGTGGAGGCGAGTTAATAATTAACAACGAGGCGAGTTAATGAGGCTGTAGTTTACTAAGAAGGACTATTGCGATAACACATTCACACAATATAAAATATTAAAATCCCATAATCCAAAGTTCCAAACCAATGTAGCAGAGTACTAGTACAATCAAAACTAAAATGTAGTAATTTATAGGCACAATCCATAATCCATACTCCATAGGCCATACTACATGCTCCAAATCCATACCATTCCATAGTTCATAGTTCCATACAAGGATACATGCATATGCATAAGAGTAGAAAATAAGAAAAAAATTTATATACTCTAAAGACTCAAGAGTTTTCAGTCATCATCAGAAAAGTGGGGTAAGCTTCATCATATGCATCAGAGTCGAGCCCATCATCATAGTAGTCATCTCCCTCTTGAACATAACGTTCATTCCCCTCTATGACTTTTGCTCTTCTTACTATTCTTCTTTCCCCTTATTGCTTTGTGAAGATGATCTAGAGGCACTAGGAGTGTTGGCTGCTTTACTTGATGCCTCTTCGCCCTTTTCTTGCTTTTTTGCGTTACCAAACTCAAAATATTACATAATCTCCTTCCTGATATGTTCAAGAACCTTCTTACAAGGGCAACATCCCCCCAAGACCGGCAAGATGTTATTGAACCGGTAAATACCCCAATTAGTATCATTTTCACAATAATTACACCTTATAAAAAATTTGTCGTTCGAATTTAGGTCAAATCACCACTTTTACAAGAACATTGAGGAGACATTTCTATATAACAAGGCTCCTTTTCTTCCATTTTTGGTTTTGACCAATTCAAATGTTATCTATTCTCATCTCAAATATCTTCTTGAACTTTTTTACAAGCAACAACATTCCCTTAAATACTAGCAAGGTGGTTCTTGAACCGGTTTGTACTCCTATTGGTATTTTTTTTCACAAAAATTACACCTTATACAATTTTTATCATTTGGATTCGGGTTATAACTATACTTCCAACCCGGATCACAACATTTAGAAAAATCAGAAGAAGACTTATCCAAATTATAAGGCTTCTATTGTTCCTTGTGTTTTATCAAACTCAGATATTGATTAATCCCCTCCCTGATAGCTTCGGGAACCTTTTTACAAGGGGAAAAATCCCTTCTAACTCTGGCAAGGTGCTTTTCAAACCAGTTTATACCACTATTAATATCTTTTTTGCAATAAAAAATCGTATACAATTTTTGTCATTTGGATTTAGGTTATAACCAATACTTTAAACCCGGGTCACCGCTTCTAGAAGAACTTGAAGAAGACATTGAAATAATAAAATCTCAAATATGAAGATTTTTAACTAGCCTTTTTGCATGATCTTCAATCTTCAAAATCGGCGATGTTTGTCCATCTCAAAAGCACACTAGTAAGCTTCTAAAATACAAAATAAAATTGAATCCAAAGCAAAAGGATGATGCTTGGATCAATTTCCTGAAACTATAAATTTTGAAAGTTCAATCCAATGAAATTGGAGATTGGATTTGTTTTTTGAGTTATTTTGGGTCAAGATAGGCTCAAAACAACTTTTGCTGGTTTATAAAAACATTCCCACCCCTTTTTTCCCCTTATTTGGGGGGGAAAAGGTTGAAAAATTTCCCTACTTGAGGGGCATTTCCACTCCCTAGGCAGCCTATCTCCTGGGCAACCCTCCTAGGGCTAGGTGTTGACCCTGTGCCCAGGAGGGCCGCCATTGCCGAGGCCCCCATAGTCTGCCCAGCCTGTAGGTGAGCCATATTTTGGATCTATGCTCCTAACACCCTAATGATTTACATAGGGAGGGAAATGCCTGAGCCCCTTCATAATTTTCATGCTGATAGTAGTACTTTCATTTTTTTAATATGATTTGTGGGACTTATTCTTTCATCACTATATTGTAATAATATGTATCTTCTTCATTGGCAGATTGCAGATTATCTCGAGCAAAGGTGTTACAAAGAATTGCGCATTGAGCATTTTGGTTTTGCAAAAGTAGTCATGTGCATTTACAGGAAATTGTTATTCTCGTGTAAGGAGCAAATGTAAGTCTTGGCTTTCATTTATTTATTTCAAAAAAAAAATCCTGCTTTTATTCTCATATGTTTGCAAATGACTTGTTGAATAATATTATGTGATACGCTTGCATTGCTTATGAGGATATCCCCTCCCCCCCTCTTTTTCTAGTATATTGTTAGTTGATGGATTTCTAATCTATTTTTTTAAACAAATATTATTAGGATATGCTTATTCAAGGAATAAGTCCATATTTATTTCTTACTGAAATATGAAGGACCATAGACCTTTTATGGCAACACATACCTGATTGATGGGTCTTGCTTAATCAAGAAATTCTCATGAAGCAAAACAGTACCTTGAACTTGTTGATCATAGCACCATGCCCTCTCTTTGTTGACAAGAAACCCAATTCTCAAAATATTTTTTAAACCCTTTCGAAACCATGATCAAATGCTGGTAAAAAATGGAGGGAAAGTCCTGCAAATCCACCTCCTCCATTTTTGTAAAAGCTCTCTCTAGATATCTTCAGCTTGTGATTCATGTAGAGGTATAGAGAACCATATGAGATTAGTGAGAGTTGGGGGAAGAGCGGGGGAATAGGAGAGAGAAAATTGATTTAGTCTAGAGAGAAGGTAGATGGAGTTTGAGAGAAGATAGAGAATGAGGGAGTTGGGAGCCGAGAGGAGGCGATCTTGGGGAAGGTCAGGAAGGGTGTTAGAGAGAAGGTGGTTCTTGTTTAAAACACCATTTTTCATATTTTTCCCTAGGGTTTAGTTGAGCCATTCTTCCAATAAAAGTATTCTTTCTTTCAAATCTAGTAGAACTGCTAGGGTTTCTCTTTCTCTTCAGGTTGTGAATCTCCATCTTGCTTCTTCAACGCTTCCCTTCTTCCCTTCATCCCATCTTGCCATGTAAGGTACATTCGTATGTTTTAAGTCATTGTTTTTCTTCGTAGTGTACGAAGATCTCATTGTTTCGGAAGATTTAATACTCAATCTTTGCATTAAGCTTCACTCCCATGTGATCCTGCACACCTATGATGTTTATAATGAGTCTTATGATTAGTACTTTTTTAGTTTTTAATTGTATGATTGTACAAAGTCCTATTATTATCCTTGTTTTTTATTGTTTGATCATTATACTCAACAAAGGCATAGGACTTTGTTTGCACATGATCGGATATCTAATAATAGAAACTCTGTGATGGGCTGGCCAATTATTTGCCAATAATTGGCCTAGGTCCATGACAATTCAATTTATTGTACATTTCTCTAGTGGTATTTAATATGTGGTTATTATACTCTTTTTATTTGAGTATTATAGTTTTTGTTTAGTTTTTGAAGATAATTTTTTTTGACGATTTGTAGTACTTGCGTTGCTTGAGTTAAAGAATTTGGTCATTAAAAATAAACTCATTTTTCTTGATGGTTTGTTGTACTTGAGTCTATTGTCTTGATTTGTTGATGGATTTCTCTTTGGGGGTATTTTTTCTCAAATAAAATGACACTGGACTCAAGGAGTGGCGATGATAACTGTCGGAGTACTGAAAGAACCACCGAAAATGGCTATAGTGGGTAAAAAGTCATCTAATAATAAATCCAAAGATAAAAATTCTCCTTAATATGGTCAAAAGGAAGCTCCCTGCCAAAAACGAGAAAGATCTGAGCCCAAGTAAGTGATTGGACAGTTTAGAATGAGGCATGGTCACATGCCGGTTAAACTTGTTTGTAATAGCAGAGGGTTCCAAACTTTGATTTACAATGCCATGAAGCCACCTTCTAAATTTTAGGTCGATCCAATATTGGATGACCAAGACAATGCCTGGTGAAGCTCGACCGTCCATTTTGCAGCACTGAGATGAGCCTTAGGATAGCCAAATTAACAAAGGAACTTATGGATTCCTGCATGAGAACATCATCAAATTCCTATGGATGAAAGACTCCATGTCGAAAGTCTTAAATTAAAAATTTGGGTTCATTTTGACACCAGATTAGTGAGATACTGTTGTCAGAACCTGCTACTTGCTGGTCAGTGGGTGGGTCAAAATTACAAAGAAACCACAGGGAAGCAACATCTGATTGACTTGAAAATTTTATGAAATAGAGAACATGAGTGGAAAAGTTAATGGTCTAAATTTTAGCTTAATCCAACATCCAGAAGGCCAATTTTCAGGGCTATCTGTGGGGTGGACCACGAAAACATTAAGGAGGGACCGTACTGTAGAAATGATCGATCATCTTGCAGCAGGCCATGAAATTTTTGGCCAAAATTTGGGGGGGCCATATCTCTCAATTCCCATAACCAAATGAGCTCAAAATTCAGAATGTTGTTCATTGCTACATGGGATTTTCATACATACATGGATTCATAGGGTTCTCCACTCATATTGAGATCAAATCGAGCCAAAATGTTAGGGGTTTGCACGAGTCCCCATCATCTTTGCTCATTCTTGGGGAGATATGATCCCCCCTGTGATTTTAGCTAAATACCCTTAGAAAACCCAAAAAGTCATAAAGACCCAAAGGGAGAACCAAGATAGGAGATTTGATCGAAGCTGGAGTTCGACTCGGATTGGATTGGCTCCGCCCTTTTCAGATCGCCTAGGTTCTAGCATCGAGTCGCTCGTTCTTTCTCGCTTAATGCAAGCAAAGGCATGGCTAAATTCCCCATGACGAAAAAGTGTTGAATACTTGATCGGATCTGCCAATAGATTGTTATGGGTAAGCCTCCCCCAACAATCATATAAGATGGGTGGTCTGAGACTACACCGACCTAAGGAATTCTCGGACCCACTATTGTAATTGTTCTTTGCACCCCCTTTATTAATTGAATGGATTTTTGCTCTTTGGTGTGCAAATCTTTGTAGTTGCATTTGAGTTAACTTTTTAGGAATGGGGCTGGGGTTGTGGTGGTAGCATCCCCACACCCAGTTACCACATTGTGGTATCCATTCCTACTGTTGACACCCCCAATTAACACCTTCAAAATGTAACTTCTTGATCTATTGACAAAAACGGGTAAGGGCTGTCTTCCCCACTGAATTACCCAAAAAAAATAATCTTTGTAGTTGCCTTCCTTCGGAGTCGATAAAAAACACTAACACACACACCACAAGCACGATCAAGCCCACACCTAGAGACACACGATTTTGTTATGATTGTCTGTGGTGCACATTATCTTTGTTTGATAAAAAGTTTGATCAACTAAAAGAGTCAATTTCGTGTTGGGGCTTTGTGGCCTTTAAAGGCTGTGAGGGCATGTAAAAAACATTTCTAATGGATTATACACTTCAGTGGGAGTGTATATTATTTGACTAACCAAGAATTAGTTGGTCTATGACTTTGGTCATGTCCAAAGTAATCCACTTCAGTGGGAGTGTGTATTGTTTGACTAACCAAGAATTAAGCGGTCTATGACCCTGGTCATGTCCAAAACCCTTTCCCCTAGGAATGTCGTACTATCAAAATGTTGGGTTTTGCTGCCTTTAAAGCCCTAAAACACTTGTAAAAATAATAATTTATTGTGGAATATACACTTCAGTGGGGGTATGTGTGTTAACTAACCATGAGTTGGGCAGTTTATGGCCCTGATTATGTCCAAAACCCTTACCCTGGGCATGTGGCACTACCGAAAAGGGTTTACAGTGGGTCATCCCTTGTTGAGGTCAGAGAGATACCAGGGATGATATATATAGGCCAGGAGAACTGTGTGGTCTTCTTTGTGCGGTTGTTGGCCTATGATAAGGGCCAAAGTCTCAACAAACTTCTGCATGACTTGTACACATGACAACCGCATTACTGAGGAGCAGCCCTATAGAGGGACACCTGTACATGTGTATAGAGAGAGCCCCTTTTGCTTTGTAGTGACAAGTGCTAGATTTGTTCGTAAAGGAAGGGGATTGAAATCCCCATTCTATGATCATGGTTCCACTGTTTGTTGTCCAACTTTGACAAGCCAGCCATGAACCCCTAAATTGAGACTATGGGTTATGGGTCCTTGTTGGGTTGGATAAGTAAAAGGTAGTGGATCATGAGTTTTGGATCAAGTGGAGAACCCTTAATGTTGCTAATTTTGACCCATTGGTATCAGTCTACTTTTAAATTATGCCATCGTTTAGTTGAATAAGAAATCTTTAAATTTTAAAATATATTTGATTTCCTATTCAAGTGGGAGTTTGAATAATAAATATTATCTTTGAACTTCTTAAAGATTATGAAAAATCTAGATAATACTAAAAGTGGTTATAATTCAAATTTAAATAGGAGTTGGACTTAGGTCAAATTATAAGGGGGTTTGCTTCCTAGTTTCCAACCAAAATCATTATGGCTGATTTGTGGTCAGATTGAATCTCTCTCACCCCACAGATTTCTTAAATACCCTAACGGTCTAGCTGAAAAATAAAGATAAGGCATACCTAGTAAAAATCCTATTCAAAGTGGGACATAAATTTGTTTCTTTTAAACAAGATTCTCCTTTGTCCTCCCTTCTAAAAAGGGTCATGCTACCCAAAATTTGATAAGACAAGGGTGCCACATTGAAACCATAATTAGGGTTTGCTGTTTGGAGAAAAAAAAGGGGTATGTCCAACCATAGGAAGATTTTATGCCTTCAAGTCTAGTCTTATTTGTTCATAAGGGTTTCTACAAATCCTAATTAGGTTTCCATGCTCTCTAAAACCCTAGAGAAAGAGGTATTGCCTGTGAAAGTTTCCTATCTCTGAAATTCCAGCAAGATAAAAAAGGACAAAAGTGCGCCATCAGTCAAGAAGTGGGGTGTATCAAGATTTGTGAGGGTAACTTCAGGTATCTTCTAGTAAGTCTTTCCAGTAGATTTAATAATTTTCAGCAATATTTTATATTTTTTTGTGAATTTTTAAGAACTTATTTTGTACCTAAAATCATAGTGGAAGATTGATTATTGCTCCTGGATGGCATCTATTATTTTGGCAGTAAAAGAAAATATTCTAGGTTGTGTTTAGGGTTTTAATTTTGGTTTAGAGCAGTGTATAGTGGGGCCACGTAAGTAG